TAACCCTAACCCTAACCCTAACCCTTGACCGGCAACTCCTTGAACATCGGTGCCTTCACAAGATTGCCCTGAACCTTCGAGAGGCCCGCCAGCTCAAACACGTCGACGCCGTACGGAACCTGCTCCGCAGTCCTGTTCACCGCTTCGCGAAGGTCGTATGTCGCTGCATGAGATCGAACGTCAGTCCTTTCGGCTTCTGAGTGTCATGAAAGCCACGAGTGACCGCGTAAGCTCACCCAGCGACCAGCAGAACTCTCCCTCTCGCTCCGCGTTCACCGTCGAGTCCTTCCTCCCCGAGTCTGACGGCTTCTGGTTCGCCGAGAACATGACGTAGGGCGGGTCGAAGGTGAGGTTGTTGAATTGCGAGCTGTCGCGTGCATGTCGAGCAAGGTCAGGCCACGCAGGAAGTGAATAAAGAAGAGGGAACGAACTAGGGCGCGAGGTTGGCGGATCCATCCGAGTTGCGCGTCGAGATCCAGCCAATCTGCGTCGAGGCAGCAGTGCAGTCAGCTAGCGTACACTCTTCGCAGCCCCGCGAGCACAAGGAAGCGAGAGCGAGGGCGCACCGGTCGCGGGACGACGCACGCCTTGAACGGGTCGTGCGGGAGGCCGTGGTCGGTCACGCCGGGTTCGTAGAAGACCATGTTCGAATATCCGTCGATAGCAAGCAGAGCAGCATCGTGCGAAGCGCCAGGCGAGCGAGACGAGAGGTGCCGACAATCGCCCAAGAAGTGGGGACGCGGCAGGCGGCAAGAGCGACTCTCCGGCCCGCGCGACGACGAACCGGCAAGCGACGACGAGGAAGGACGTCCAAGCCACGAGCGAAGAAGCCGGAGGGACCGTACGAGACGAAGCGGGATGAAACCAAGTTGCCAACAGAGAGCGGGAAATGCGGAAATCTACGGAGCGGTTTAAAGTGACTAGGACGGCAAGGGGAGCCCGAGAAGCTGCGAAAAGTGGGCCTGGTACTCTTGCGGAAGCTGCGCCATCAGCGACGGGTTCGCCTCGATCGCCGCCTTGAGCTCCTCGTACGACATCGACGCGTTCTGTGCGGGCTGCGCGGCGGCAGGCGCGGGCGAGGGAGTCGGCGCGGTAGGCGAAGCCGAGCCGTAGGTCGGCGACTGGACGGCCTGAGGGTGCTGGTACGCCGAAGGGTGGTAGAGGGGGTGCCCGCCGTGACCGTACGGGATCGACTGCCCGTTCGACTGCGAGCGGGCCATCAGCGAGTGCTAGAAAGGAAAGGGACACCAAGCCCACGCACCTTGGTCGCCTTGGGCTTTTTGGCGGCAGCCTGCGCGGCGGCCGCGCCCTTGTTGCCGTTGCTGACGGACGCCTTGCGCTTCTGGCCGGTGACGGGTTCGAGAGGGTGCGGCGGGTAGACGAGCTGCGGAGGCGAACCCGCAGGAGGCTTCGGAGGACGAGGCCGCCGTTGCCGCGTGCCCTGGCAGTGACCGCAGATCCACTTGAACGCTTCGTCCTCGTACGGGATGATGCGACCGGCGAGCGCGTCCGCCTGCTGGTGGCAAGGCAAGTGCTGCCAATCCTCGCACGAGTCACAGCAGATCAAGCCGAGGCCGTCGTCCTGCGGACGGAAGGTGCGGTCAGCGGGACGAACAAGGGAGCGGGAGAGTCCCGCCGCGCGACGCACGTAGTTCCAACCCGCAGTCCCGCAAATCTCGCAATCGAGGTACCACGACTCGTCGACGGCGGCGTCGTCGGCCGGAGGAACGGGGAGGACGGGCGCAGGAGGAGGCGGGGCGACGGCAGCTTCCGCCTCGGCGTCTGCGGCGGCTTCGGCGTCGCGTTCAGCCTTGCGTTCGGCACGACGCTCCCTCGCACGGGCGCGCTGCAGAACATCGAAGCGGGTCAGCACGCGCTTCGAAGTGATGCTCCCATCCGCCTCAACACACGCACCTTGGCCTCGTCCTTCTGGCGCTTCTTCTCCTCGGCCTCGACGCGCTTGCGCTCCTTCTCCTGCTGCCGCTCGTACTCGGCGCGCTCGTCGTCATTCATGAGCTCGTAGGGAAGGACGCCGCCGTTCTTCTCCATCGCCTCCTGGCGCTCCTGCTCGCGCAGCTCCTCCATCAACTTGCGCTCCTGCTCCTCCTCGAGCCGCTTCCTCTCCTCCTCGCGCTTGCGGAGGCGGTCCTCGCGCGACTCGGCCTTGGGAGTGCCAGACTCGGCAGGGACAAACTCGCTCAGTCCGTCGTCGGCGTAGCTGCGGACCTGCTGGCGAACCGCACGCGTCGGTCGGTCGCTGATCGGGTTGCCGTCCTCGTCGACGCCTGCGACGCGAGACGATGAGCGCTTCGAGAGCTGGGCGGCGAGTTCCGCCGATTTGGCCTCTTCGGCGAGGCGCTCCTCTTCGCGGCGCTGCTTCTCGTCCTCGATGCCCTGCTCAACCGCCGGGACGAGCTCAAGCGCGACGAGCTCCCTCAGCTTGATCTCGTCGGGATGCGTGCTCTTGGCGAAGCGTTCGGGGAAGGCGCGCCAGTCGTCGAGCGTCGTGCAAACCTGCGCACGATGGACGGGTCAGCGCACGAACTCCCGACGGAAGGACGGAACCGCAACGCACCGCCTCCCACTCGACAAAGCCGGGCGTGTTGTCCGCGCGCTGCCGCTCCTCCCAGTACTGTTTCTCCCACGACGGCATCTCCTGCTCGACAGCCGGCTCGTCCGCAAGCTTCTTCGACGACGAGAGAGCGGGCGATCCGAGGTTCGACCCCTCGTCCTCCTCGCCTTTGACCGCGTCGCTCGCCGGACCCGACAAGCCCATCTTGACGTCCTCGTCGCCGTCCTCGCCTTTGACGCCGGTCGAAGGGCCCGCCTCTTCGTCCTCGGCCACCTGCTCGAACGCGCCCGTCTCGGCGTTCTTCTTCAGCTTGAAGCGGACGACGCCCGTGACGGTGCCCTTTTTGCTCTTGTCGCGAGGGCCGGCGCGGAGGCCGAGCAAGGTGCGCGGCTTGCGGACGGGCTGGTCGGACGGGTTCGACGGGTCGGCTGCGGGCGGGTCGCGCTGGATCCAGAGGCGGTCGTCGGCGGTGTGGAAGTACTTGTTGCCCTCCGAGTCGGTCCCGATGGGGTCGAGCCGCTGCTTTGTAAGTTGTCGAGGGTGACAAGAGGTCGGGCGAGTCAGTTCGAGTGGTCTCAAAAGCGAGAGAAACCGAGCGCAACCTACCCAGGCCGCCTCGCCATCCCACTGCAGGTACTTGCGGAACTGCTGAGCCGGGTCGACCATGTGCCACTCGCAGACGTTGTAGATCGCGTCGAGCTGCGGGCAGACGAGCGTCGGCGAGACTGTTGACAGTTCCAGAGGAACGGTCCCGTGCGCACCTTGGTCTCGAGGCTCAGGTCCTTCCACTCGACGGCCCGCTGCTCCTCGTACCACTCCTCCTCGTCTTCCTCGGCACCCTCCTCCTTCTTCGCCTCGGCCTGCTGCTCCTGGAACGCGCCCTCTGCGGCGTCCTGCGCAATCGCGTCGGCCATCTCGGCGTTGAAGCCGTCGTCGAGCGCGGCCTCGGTGACGGGCACGCCCGCCTCGGCCGTCTTGCCCGAGACGTTGACGTCCGCCGCGCCGGCCTCGCGCACGAGCGAACCGTCCTCCTTCGCCGCCTTGTCCTCCTCCTTGATGCGCGCTGCGACGACACCGTCCGACTCGCCGACAGTGAAGGGCGTGCCGGCCTTCTTCTTCCCCGCCTTGCGGTACAGCGCCTTCTCGGCCTCCCTCAACTTGTCCTCCGCATCCGCAAAGATACTCCTCTCGACCTGCTCGTCCTCCTCCTTCTTGACCGCCGCTGGCGCCCCCTCTCCCGACCCAGACGCCCCACCCGCCTTGGCGGCCATGTACGCGTCGTACTCGGCCTCTTCGCGCGCGCGCTCGATCGCACGCTCGGCTTCGACGACGCTGCCGGGCACGCGGTGCCACGAGTAGAACGGGTTGTCCTCGCGACCGACGCGGCGGTTGTACGAGCGACGGAGCGCGCTGAGCCAGTTGGTGGAGCTGCGGGGACGACGGGCATGAGAAGGTCAGCGATCCGGGATCCACGACAGGCTGGCCAGGGACGCTCGCATCTACGCACTTGGTGTTGCGGTCGTTGGCGAGCGTGTTGAGGATCTTGCCGAGGAGTGCGGGAATCTGAGCGTCTGGCTTGACGCCGAGCAAGTCGAGCTCAAAGTCCTGCGCGGAGAGGAGAGTGTCAGTAGTGCGCAGGAGAGGAAGACCGCCCACTTCCCAGAGCCTCGACATGCCGCGAGCTGACATGCAGACCAGCATGTCGAGGCACGGGGTTGACGGTTGTTTCCGCACGCAAGGGCGGAGTCACCGACTCACGCTCGTGTTGAAGGTGCCTCCGAGGTGGTGGAGGAAGAGGACGGAGAACTGCACGATCAAGGAGACAGTCGGGGAAGGAAGACGAGCCGCGGCGAAACGTGAGGAAACCATGCAAGATGCAGTGGTCAGCGAACGCGTTGGCCGCCCTGCCAGCACACGACTCGAGTGAATGAGGTTCTAGACGCACGTGAGCGATGGCAGCGGTGCGGAAGTCGGTGCGCAGCTTGCGCAGGCCTGCGGCAATCTCCTGGTCCGAGAGGGTGCTCGACATGGCTGTGAGGGTGTACTCGCTGCGGGTGCACTCGTCGGCGGTGACTCCGAGTAGTTGGTCGAGCGGGCGAGGTGTTCTTCAGACGGGCTTGGCGAGCTGTTGGCGCGAGTCGGGTGGTGCGCAGGAGGGGTGGAGGACTGGTCGGCGAACGGCGGGACGGCGGGACGCAGGACCTCGACGCACGGGTTCCGGAGTGAAGGGAGACTCTTTCCGAGCGCGTGCAACTGTCTGCGTGCGCGTGCGAGGCCTGTGTCAGCGCAGGAGGACTCGGGTGGGAGCGAGGCGCGAGGGACAAACAGATGGCAGCAACGGCGCGACGGGGCGGGTTGCGACTTGCACTCAGGCGGTGCACAGGCGCGTGTGAGCTCGATGCGCGTGCGCTTGATCCCAGCAGAGCGGTGTAAGCGGACAGCAGCGATGAGATGGCGGTCAAAGGGGGAAGGGTCACTCTCGCGTCCTCTCGACAGCTGCAGGTGGACAGTCTGACAGGGTAGCACGCTCTAGAAGGTCACCCTGGTACGGTCTAGCCAGTCCAGCTCCCGCTTCGAGCGGTGGAAGAGGCAGAGACGGACCCTCTTATTGCTCTCCCTCGCTCGCATCGCTCTCGCTCGCTCGCATCGCTCACGGATGGCTTCGAACGCTCAGGCTGCGCAGACGACCTCGTCGAGCCTCTCGCTGTGGTTCCAGCAGCACCGCCGCGCCGTCCTCATCACCGCAGGCGTCGTCGCGCTCTCGGCAGCCGGAACGCTCTACTACACCCAGAGCAACTCGCAGCACGCCCGCCGCGCGAGGGAGCAGGCCAGGGACGCCGCCAACAAGGCCGCAGACAAGGCCAAGAAGGAGCGCAAGCAGAAGAAGCCCAAGCAGCCGGGCGAGGGCAAGCCAGACGCCAAGTCGGCCGACGACGATGACGGTCAGTCGTGCGACTCGCACTCGCCGTGTGGCGCACTGCGGCTACTCTCGCTGAGCTCTCAGAATGGCTGAGAGACTTTCTGAACGGGCGGCGCGGCTTCGAGAGGAGCGGGATGGTTCCCCTTGGTCCGGTGACGGCAGCGGGAGAAGTGTCGTCGGGTGATAGTTGGGCAGGTGCGGGGCAGCAAGAGTGTGAACGAATGTGTTTGGGAACTACGTGGGAGTGCGAGCGGACAGCGCGATGCGGAACGGTTGGGTTCCTGGCAACGCGGATTCGAGGGTCGCGGAAATCGCGGTGAACGGGCATCGCAGGCTCGGCGGATCCTCAACAGCCGGAAACTGACGCTCTACACGCTGGCAGATTCCCTGAAGCTGACGGCGTCCGACATCGAGGTGATGGACCCGGAGGTTCGTCCTTTCCCCTCTCTCGACCCGACCAGACCGCTCACCCTTGCACACGGACAGACTCGCTCGAAGACCGCCCTCACTCTCAAGGCTCGCGGCAACAAGCTCTACTCGGCGAAGCAGTACCAGGAGGCCATCGACTACTACACCAAGGCGATTCAGTGCGAAGAGCAGGCGGTCTTCTACTCGAACCGGGCCGCATGTGCGTTCGGGCGCGCTCCTCTCAGCCCATGTACGAGAACAGAGCTGATAGCCCACCGGTCCCGTCCGCAGGCTACACGAACCTGAACCAGCTCGACAAGGTCGTCGAGGACTGCTCGAACGCGCTCCGCCTCGACCCGCAGTACATCAAGGCGCTGAACCGACGAGCGACCGCGCGCGAGCAGCTCGGAGACGCCGAGAACCTCTACCTCTCTCTCTGCGGTGCGTCGGCGCGGCTTCGGAGCAGCTTTTACTCGTGATGACCGGTCCAACCCACAGACTTCACCGCCTCGGCAATCCTCGACAACTTCAGCACGAGCTCGACGACCGACTCGGTGGAGCGCGTCATGAAGCAGCTTGCGACGCAAAAGGCGCAGGACATCCTCACCACCCGCGAGCCCCGCCTCCCCTCCCCGACTTTCATCACCGCCTACCTGACCGCCTTCCGCACTCGCCCTCCTCCTTCTCTCCCCGCCAACCCGAGCCAGGGCGACCGCACGCTTCAGCTCGCATACGACGCGCTCGACGCCAAGGACTTTACGCACGCCTTCACCTTCTTCAACGAGTCGATCAAGCAGGGGATCTCGACTTCGGCGGGCAAGGCCGAGGCGCTCAACATGCGCGCGACGTTCAAGTTCATCATGAGCGATGCGGAGGGCGCGCTTGTCGACCTCGACGAGGCGACGACTGTCCAGCCCGACAGCGCGCAGAGCTGGGTCAAGAAGGCGAGCGTGCACATGGAACTTGGCCGGCCAGAGGACGCGATGAAGGACTTTGACCGCGCTTTGGAGATTGACCCGAACAACGCCGACGTGTGAGTTGCAACTGTCCTTTCTCGAGGGTGCCGGAACTCACTGTCTCGCGCCCTCCAGCTTCTACCACCGCGGCCAGGTCTTCTTCATCACGGGCGAATTCGACCGCGCCATCGCCGAGTACCGCCGGTCGTCCGAGGTCGACCCGGCCTTCATCTTCTCACACATCCAGCTCGCGGTTGCGCAGTACAAGTCGGGCTCGACCGAGAAGGCGCTGCACCAGTTCCGGCGGCTGATCGAGAAGAACCCCGAGTCGGCCGAGGTGTACAATTACTACGGCGAGCTCCTGCTCGACCAGCAGAAGTTCCCCGAGGCCGTCAACGCGTTCGACAAGTCGATCGAGCTCGCGAAGAACAAGTGAGTCTGAACGATGGTCTCGCTTGTCAGAACGTCTCGCTTGACGAACCTGTACTGATCGAAGGCGTCCCGTGCCGCTCGCAGCCACCCGCGAAACGTGCTCCCGATGGTCAACAAGGCGCTCGCCATCTTCCAGCACCGCCAGGACTTTGCGACGGCCGAGAGCATCTGCCGCGAGGCGGTCGACATTGACCCGCAATGCGACGTCGGCGTCGCGACGCTCGCCCAGCTCCTGCTCCAGCAGAACAAGGTTCACGACGCGGCCGACATGTTTGCCAAGTCGGCAGAGATGGCGAGAACCGAGCCCGAGCTCGTCAACGCCCTCACCTACGAGAATGTGCGCGCGCTCGCCGCTCGACTCGAGACCGTGCTTACTTGATGCGTTCGTTGCAGGCCACCCGCGCCCAGATCGCCTTCCTCAAGAACTACCCTCTCCAGGCTGACCGAGTGCGTTTCCCGTCTCACCCATCGCTCGTGGATCCTGACTGACTCTCCGTGTGCCACCATAGCTCGGCTTGAGCCGGACAGCGTAAGTTCATGGCAGAATACCTTGTAGTTTCCCCTCCTCCTATCGTTTCAAGCCGCCTTGCAACCTGTAACCTCGACATTGCCCATCTCTGCGGTCTCTATGCGTATGAGATACTGGGTGGTTCAATCTGCACCGCCAATAGCGAGGACCGTCCCTCCTCGTCGAGACTGCCCTCTCCCTCCGCCTTCACCGCTCACCTCTCGCTTCGCCCCCGCCATGAAGCGCACGGCCTCAAACGCTGGCTCACCTCCACCCCCAAGCGCTCCTCCCAAGCCCAAGAAGCCTCGAGCGCCTCGCACGAAGAAGCCCAAGAAGGGCACCACCGCAGGAGGCGACGCCGGCTCTCCTCCGCCGTACGGATCCGCCGCAGCTTCACCAGTCGGCGCATCTAGTCCACCAGCATACGCCGACTCGCCCGCTGCGTTCGGCGGAGGCGGGAAGCGCGAGCGCAGTGCAAGCGTCGCTGATGGGATCGGGAAGGGGAAGGAACGCGCTGGGACAGCCGGTGCGGACGTGGAGGCTCAGGGAGTCGGACTTGCTGTGACTGGGCCGGACGGCGAGGAGCAGGATGCGGAGGACGAGGTGTTCGAGTTCTCGGACGACGAGGTGAGTACTCGCTCGGACTTGCTTTCGCTTCTCGTGGGTTCAAAACTCGCGGAGAATACAGAGCTGATGCCAGCTCGTACATTGCAGTTCGGCTCGAACCAGCGCGAGGTAGCGAAGCAGAAGGAGGACTTGCGAGTCCTGCTCGAGCACTTTGACGAGCAGCAGATGGACCGCTACGAGGCGTACCGTCGAAGCGGTCTCACCAAGTCGAGCGTACGGAAGGTGCGTGGCCGAGAAGCTGACCGGTCGCGACGCCGCCGCTGACCGGAGAACTCGACCGTCTCGCTCTCGTTTGCCCTTTCACAGCTCGTCAACCAAGTCCTCCAGCAATCCGTCTCTCCCTCCATCCTCACCGTCGTGCGCGGTTTCGCCAAAGTCTTCGTCGGTGAAATCGTCGAGAAAGGTGCGTCGTCCTTCCTCTTTCCTCCCGGTGTTCATCCCTGACGATTCCTTCGATGCAGCCCGCTCCGTCTCCCAACACCCCGGCCCGCTCACACCTCGCGACCTGCGAGAAGCGTACCGACTGTACCTGGAGGAGCACGAAGGAGCCGGTGCAGGCGGGTCGACGCAGAGGAAGAAGTTGTTCGTCAAATGAGGGGGGCGCCTTGATGCCTTGTACAGAGCTTTCTCTTCCCTTCTTGTTGCCAATAGTACTCGGTCGCTCGCACGCAATTCCTTCCGCTAGCAGACGAGAGCAAGTGTGGATCCGCAACAACAGCTTTTTGCAGAGACGTAACGGCGTGAAGGTTCGTCGCGAGATGGAACAGATGCAGGAATGTCGTGAATGCGATGATAAGGTAAGTAACGATGTGAGGGAAGACGCAGACCGGTAGATAGGTACAAGAAGTTGAGCGCGACGAGGAGACAACGAACCGGGGAATGAGAGTGTCTGTCCGACCGCCGTGCTAGCTCAGAGCTTTGGCGGGTGCACAATACGGCGTACGGCTTGGTGAGACGCAAGCAGCGCAATGACGAGGACCAAGACGACGAAGAAGAGAATCGGCGGAAGCATGTGCTGCGACGCGGAACATCTGTAAGCTACTACCCGCAGAGCTGATGTGCGAGAGCGCAACGAACCTTGGCGTAGCAAACCGTCTCCGACCAGACGTATTCCCACTTGGTCATCTCCTTCGGCCGCCCGCCGTCTTGCTCCATTGCCTCGCCGCCTCCATCTCGGCGCAACAACGCCGACCGCTCGTCTACCGCTTCCTCCTCGTCCTCCCGTCGCGCCCCTCGCCGTCCTCGCCACAACCACCTCAACAACCCTAGCCCGCTCCTCTCCCTCTCCGCCCTCGCCAGCGCCTCCCTCTCTTCCCGTTCCTCCCTCGGCGTCTTCGGGTGCTGCAGGTCGAAGCTCGTGTACGTATACGTCGTGCCGACCGTGAGCGTCGACGAAGCAGACGGCGAGCGAAGGTGTCGAGCGTGAGGGCCGTGAGAATGCGGGTGGGGCGAGTGTTCGGACATGTGAGGCGTTTGAGGGGATTTGCCCGTTGCTTGGGCGTGGTGAGGATAGGGAGTGCGAGGTGGTCGGTTGAAGCGAGAGCATCGGCGAGGTTGGTGCGCGAGAGGCGGGGCGGAGGGAGAGGAGAAGGACGAGGCGGGGTGGTCGCTGGCAGAGATGGGTGACTGGAAAGTCGGAGGTGGTCGCCGTCGAGGGTCAGCTTGATGAGACGTAGAGGGCGAGGCGGCAGAAGGTGAGGGAGTAGCGGGGATGTAGATGGAGAGTGAGGGTGTGCGTCGCATCTCGGGCTGATTCGACAATCGAGGGGTCGACGCTCCACTCATACTCGTCCTCCGCCTCCCCTGCAACGTGTCGGCCGCGGCGGGCTGAGCTGGCAACTCTGTCGACAAGACGCCTAGCCCGACACCACTCCGACTCGACTTGCGAGAATGTCCTCCTCGATTGCCGTCTTCTCCACCAACTCGCCCGCTGGACAGCATGACAGGACTGGACACAACGCGCGAGCCAGATGTGACGCCGGGACGAGTTGCCTCGCCAAGTTGCGTCGATGGTCGTCGACGGGGGATCTTCGAGGTGGAAGAGCTGGGTTGTCGAGGCGAGTCGGGAGCGGCGAGAGTTGGAGGATGCGGTGGATCGAGTGTCGACGACATCTCGCCTGTCAAGCCCTAGAACGAGGTGGAGCTGGGGATATCACGCGGTTGAGCGTCAACGGGAGTGGCGGCCGAATCGTTGGATGCAGGGCGACTGACGCACCGAGATTGGCAGACGACGTTGGCAGAGATGCCAGAGGTTCCTTCGCCTCTTGAACCTCGTTCAGACGCGCGCAGAGCGCCTGCTGCAGCGACAGGCGAGTGCGGAGAGGCGCAAGGGGTCGAGACGACGTAAGGGAGGTCGACGGAGAGATGCAGGGGCGCTTGAGCTTCCTCCGCTTGTACAGTCGTTCCCCAGTGTTATTGTACCCGATCTGTCCTCCCGAAAACCGTCCAACGGCGGTGTGCGAGGCGCAAGCCGCGTCGAGAGATGAAGAGGTCGATGAGGATGGCGAGGTGGCCTCGTCGCGCCGTTGTTGCGGGTCGTGAGCAGACGCAGCGCTCTGGGCAGTTTCTAGCACCTCAAGAGCGTTCCAGCAAGCGCCCTCGCGGGTTGCGGCGTTGTGGTTGCTCCCCAAGTGTCGCCTCGAGCGAACTCTCGCTTGGCCCACACGCTCGGCCGCAGCGGAAACGCTTGGCTGGCTTCTTTTCACGCTCTCGAGGACGGCCAGAGTCAACAGAGCGAACCGGCGCTTGCCCCAAGTCTTGCCGCCGCTTCGCTCGTCCCGCTCACTCGACAACGACTCGCGGGATCCTCGCCCTTCAGCAACACGCCAGATTGAGGTGGGATTAGGACTCAGAGGACATCCAGGATGGACATCGACTCGCCACCAATCGACGCGAGCCTCCCGACGGACGCGCTGTCGGCGTTTGGCCTCCGCTACCCTCTCCCGTTCCGCATCCTCTTCCTCTCGTCCCTCACTGTCCTCGGGTTCGCCTCGAACCTGCACATCCTCTCCCATCTCGGCATCGACACCGCCCTCGTTCTAGACGTCCGATTAGACGCCCCGCCTTCGACTCTCCCTCGAACCGTCCCTCTCTCTTCTCTTTCCAACACCGCGCCGTCTTCGACCGCCCACCCTCCTTACGTCCACCCTTCGAAACTCTACCCGCCCTTGTACAGTCTTGCAGTCGCGGGACTCGGATGGACTGCCGCAGGATGGCTGTTCTTCCGACTTTTGACGGGAGGCGATCCCGCCGCAGGCGAACGCTGGCGGATCGAGCCGGCTGCGCTTCTCATCCTGGCAGCAGCGGCGATTTGTTGGCCAGGGAATGCGCTGTGCCGGAGAGAGCGGTTCCGCTTCTTGCGGTGCGTCGCGACTTGCGTCCGTCTCGTCGACACGCAACTAATCTTCCCGTCTCTTGCAGGTCTATCCGACGCATCGTCTCGCCCTCGCTCAATGCCGCAGTGCCCTTCAGCGACATCATCCTTGCCGATATCCTCACTTCTTCCGCCAAAGTGCTTGGCGATGTATGGGTCGCGGGATGCATCCTGTTCGAAGGCGGGGCGGTCGGGACAGCCGGACTGTCTGTCGGCGATGCGTGCAAGCGAGTCTGGGGCGTACCCTTCATGACTTCGTGAGTCCAGCCCTTTCGACGCGATTACGCCTGCTGACCCACGTTCCGCGCGCAGCCTGCCCTACCTCTTCCGTTTCCGCCAATGCCTCTCAGAAGTCTACACGCGCTCAACACCCACCCCTCGTCGGTCGCTCCTCAACGCCCTCAAGTACGCGACGGCCTTCCCCGTCATCATCTTCTCGGCAATGCAGACGGTCATTGGCGACCCGTTCGACCCGGACGAGGAAGCGCACGAGGCGGGTGAGCGGTGGATCGGGCGGACGACGCTGTTCAACCTGTGGTGCATTTCGGCTCGCTCTCACTCGAAAGACGTATGACTCACACTCGTTCCGTGCAGGATTCTCGCCGTTCTCGTGAACAGCCTGTACTCGTTCTGGTGGGACGTTACGAACGACTGGGGCCTCTCGCTCCTCACGAAATCAGGCTGGTCGTCGTCGCCTTCCGTCTCGTACGCCTTCATCAACCCGCCATCGTCGTCCGGCAGCCATGCTCCGCACCGCTCTCCGGCCAGTCGAGGGCTCGCAGGCTCGCACCAGCACCACCGAGCGCGGTCAAATACGCCAAACGGTCTGCTTGGCCCACCTAGTTTAGCGAACGGCGAGGACGGGTCAAGTCTCTCGACAACGTTCCCTCCTCCGCCCTCCCGCCCGCAATCCCCTCTCCCCAAACCCGGTCCTGCCTCGGCCACTCTCGCCGTCCCTTCCACTTCTGGCTCTCCCGGCTCTCGTCGCACCCACCACATGCGCGCCTTCTCGACCGCTTCCTCCCCGAACCTCTCCTACCCGTTCCTCCGGCCGATCCTCCTCCTCCCGGACCCGCTAATCTACTACCTCTTCATCCTGCTCGACCTCCTCCTGCGTCTCACATGGTCGCTCAAACTCTCTTCTCACCTGCACAGCGTACAAGAAGTCGAGGCGGGTGTGTTCGTGGTTGAATTGATGGAGGTCGTGAGGAGGTGGATGTGGTGTTACCTCCGGATCGAGTGGGAGGCGGTCAGGAAGGGTGCAGGGAGCGAGGTCGTCAGCCACCACGCACCGAGTGCGCCGGGCGGGGTGAGCTGGCTCGAGAAGGACGAAGGGGAGGCGAGGTTGCGGATGCAGGAGGAGTACGAGCTGGCACTGAGAGGCAGCGGAGGCGCGGGACCGAGTGGGCCGGGAGGAGTGACAGCGCCGTTACTCGAGGATGTCAAGGGCGCGGGTGGGGCGAGAGAAGGGGAACTGGTTTAGACTGCGGGAGGGATGCGTGACTTTCTCTACAGGCTATCCCTGCATCGCAGCATTAGACGCAGCGTCTCGACTGACGTCTCGCAATCTGTGCAAGCAAGACAGCCCTCTCGAGCGGCGGCACCTGTTACAACACGAAAGAGCGAAAACCCGTGCCCTCCTCTACCGACCCTTCTTCCCTTCTATCGCACCCGACGACCCTCCCGCCGCCACCGCACTTTTCACCTCGCCGTACTCGCCTAGCGGGTCGAGCCATTTGACCGGGTGTGCATTGTAGGCGGGAAGAGGCGGGAGGGTGACCTGTTCATTCGAGGCGTGAGCGATGTCCAAAAGAGCAAGGACAGGCAGGCACACCGCCAAGCAGCCCAAGAAACCCAACGTGAAGATGGCGAAGGTGATTTTGAGGTTCTGCAAGGCGAAGCCAAGGACGAACGCGACAGCCTGGCAGGAGGAGGAACAGGTGGGCCGAGACCATCGGAGGAGGGTGACGCAGCTCGTACGCACCGCTGAGGCCCACAAGATGACCCTCGCACGACGCTCGACGAGGTCCTGCCCGACAAAGTCCTGTTTGCGCCCGTCAAACGCGTTGAAGGTGATGAGGCGAGAGAAGGGCGAGCAGGTCAGCTGGCGGCCGTCTAAGAGGCCCGGCGCATCCACGCACGATCTTGCACTCGAGCGAATCCCTCAGCGCGTCCAGCTGAGCCGTGAGTGACATGGCGACGTCGTGGTCGAAGAGGAAGAGGTTGAAGCGGGTCTGTCCGCGTCCACCTCGCTTCGTTGCCTAGTCCGACTGGCTTGCACTTGATTTGAGCTGTCCTGCGCACTGTAGACGGCGTGCAGCCTTTCCAGCGTCCCTCGCGTCGTCACCGCCCTCCACTTCCTCGGATCCCGAGACTTTGCTCTCTCGCTCTTCTCTCGCTCCGCTGTAGCTATCGAGAATGACTGGAGGACACGACTTGAAGGCTTTGAGTGGATCCAGCATGTTCGACTTGACCGGAGTGGTCGCGGTCGTAACAGGCGCGTTCCTTTCCCCACATCCTCCTCCTCGACAAGGATGCTGATAGCCTCGCTCGACAGGCGGAGCCTCCGGAATCGGTCTCATGATCGCTTCGACGCTGCTCGCCAACAATGCGACCGTCTACATCGTCGACCTCGACCAGAAGCAGACTGAATCCATCGCGGAACGGTATTCTCGACTCGCCAAGGACAGCGGCAGCGAGGGCAAGATGATTGGTCTGCAAGGAGACGTCGGCTCGAAGGCTGGGGCGGAGAAGATCTTTGAGAACATCCAGAAGCGCGAAGACTACGTAACCGTCCTTTTCAACAACGCGGCTGTGTCCGCCCTCGTCCCTCTGTCGAGCCGCACTAACTCGCCCGATACAGGCACTATGGGCGAGCCTACGAAGCCGCCGGAGGAGCAGACCGCTGAGGCGTACAAGGAGACCTTCATGAAGTTGGGCGACGGAGTCTTCCGCGAGCACGAGGCTTTCTCTTTCCTCTCCTTGGCCTGAGACGGACGCTATCTCCACAGCACCATGTCCATCAACACGTGCATCGTCTTCCTCTCTGTACCGTCAAGTACAAGCTGATCTGACCGCTCCTCCTGCAGCTTCGGTCCTTACTTCCTCTCCATCGCCTTCCTCCCACTCCTCGCGGCGTCGCAGACCAAGGCAGCGTATGTTGACAAGTTCCAACCCCAAATCATCAACAACGTCAGCATGAACGGCTGGACCAAGGTGCGTCACCTTTTGCCGCTTGCTCGCTTGCTCGCTCTTCCGCTTACACTCCGTCTTCTCGCAGGTTCCGGCAACAGGCGGGTGCTCGTACCCCTACCTCCTCTCCAAAGCAGCGCTTGGGCACCTCACCAAGCTGCTCGCACACGACCTCCTTCCTCTTGGCATCCGCGTAAACAGCATCTCGCCTGGATGGTTTGTGACTGGCATGGTTCGTCTGCATGTCTCTCAATCTGACGCTCAAAGATGCTGACGTCGCTCGTCTGACTCGCTAGTCTGCGCCTGGAACGGTCGACGAGTACGGCATCTCGTCAAAGCAAGGTAGTGCGTCCTCGCCTCTTTCCGTCGCAAAGTGTTCGCGACACCGCGCTTCGTCAACTGACGCCTCTTCCTGCTCGCTGTAGGCCTCTCCTCCGAATCTTTCGGCTTCCAGACTCCCGTCGGCGGATCCGGCTCCGCAACAGACGTCGGTTCGATCGCGCTCATGCTCGTCGTCAACCGCTTCGTGAATGGCGAGAGCGTCCTGGTAGACGGAGGGACCCTGCTGGTGCACCCAAGTAGCTACTGAGCGGAATAGAGTCGTAAGCTTATCGAGCTCGAAATGTCGCTTCCGCGCGAGAGATCCGACGAGGAAGCGAGACGAGATGTGCGAATGCAGCAGTGCGGAGTGATGCGAACGAGTGCGAGACTATGCGCAAGAACAGGGCATGCGGAGGTCGTACAACGAAGAAGGAAGGAAGAGAAACGGCCTGAGGTCCCGCCTCGGCTCCGCCAACTACACCGTTAGCCCCTTCAGCAGCCCGATACAAGTCTCGCACGCCTCCCTAACCTCCCTGACCTTCTCGAGCAGGCTTGGCATCGCTTCGGTGGTCAAGACGAGCTTGGCATCGGCGGAGGCGGTCTTGCCCCGGACGCCAGCGACGGATGACGTGCGCCCGTGCCGGCGAGAGAGCGACGATGTGGTGTCTTCGGCGGCGAGTTGGAGGACGGATGCCCCGCGAGGAGGCGAAAACTCGAGGTCCCAGTCTTCGTCAGAGTCGCTCGTCGAGTTTGATGCGGTGCGCGGAGCGTGTCGGGACATCGGCGGCGCGACAGAGACGGCTGGCGTTGGACGGGACACGTGACGAGACCGGTAGGTTGGGTCGGATACCGACCTCCTCGGCGCCGGTGCGACATCCGACTCCGCTTGTCCCGCTGAGACGAGCTGTGGATCTGTCTGGACGGACGCGGCGAGTTCCTCAGTTGCTCGAGAGCGCAATCGCAAGAGGAACTCGCGAATGCCAAAGACGCCCGTTCGACTGACTCGTCGAGACGCTGGAGAGGGCTTTTCTGGCGAGAGGCTGGGCGTGGATGGGGAGGCGAGGGCGGCGAAGAGAGGAGAGACACGTCGTCCTGATTGGAGCGAGACCGACGAAGTCGCAGAGTCAGGCTGAGTGATGACCGTGAGAGGAGGACGTGGGGACGGCGGTGCCCGAGAAGGCAGCGAGGCACCTTTGTGCGGCGCCGCAAGCACGCCGCGGAGCATCTCCTTCTGTCGGTGGGCGACACTCGCAGCCGTCTCGATTGATGATGCACTCGGGCGGCGCTTGACTTGCCGCTTGGTGACTGTCGAATCCGCCGGACGGGCCGAAGCAATCGTCTCCGCCTCCGACTCTGATCCAATTCGCGAATGGCGTCGATCTGTCTTCTCAGGCGCGAGCGAAACGCACCGGTCGCGGCGACTGGCGAGCGTGCCGGGAGATGGTCGACTCGCAGCCTGCCGAGGCTTGCCGTCGCCGAGGTCGATGAGCGTCTGCGCCTGCTCCCACCACGAGGCATAGTCAAGCTCGACTCGACGTATGGCCTGCGCAGTCTTCGCGACGGCGTTCTTCGAAGGCTGATCAGGCGAGAGATGCTGAGGCGAGACCGATGGCAGCGCCATGACCTGTACGAGCTCTTCGTACTGTCCGCGAAGCGCCTTAAGCTCTGCGTGCGGGCAGTCGTTAGCCGACTAGAACAAGCGGAAAGTGAAGTCGAGGAAACGCACCTTCGATCGCCGCCGCAAACTGCTTGACCCGCTCCAGGTCCTCCTCGATCTTCTTCTGTGCGTTCGTGATCCGCGCCGGGATCCGCAAGTCGCTCAGACTGTTCCGCCTCGGAACACCCGTGTCCTCGCCATTGACGAGATCGTCGCCAAAGCTGTAGACGGTTGGCGGGCGGTCGCTCTCGCCCGCGGTCGAAGGGTTGTCGCTCGCGAACGACTGCTGGGAGGTCCTGACACCGAGGGGGGGCTGTGGCGGACGAGGCAGGGGCGAAGTCGAACGAAGGGGCATGATGGAAGACAGCGAAACGCTCGGGCGATGACCAGCTTGGAGCGGACGAGTCTTGGGAGGCCTGCTTGTTGCTGCTGCGCGAGCGGTCGAAGTCGGTGCAAGTTGCGCCGGACGAGATCCAGAAGGACCCGCGGCCGTCGACGCCGAAGTTCCGGGCATTCGGTACGCTGCGTTGAGCTGACCATGCGACGGTGGAGGGCGAGTCGCAGTCTGTGCGGGGATTACAGCAGGCGACGGCCTCGGCGGGCGAGGTGGAGGGATTGGCGGAACAGGCGGCGCATCCACCGACGTCGACGGCTTTCGTGGCGAAGGCGGTGTCTCCGTGCGAGGCGACGAGCGGGAGAAGCCTCGAGCGCGCGTGATGAAGGAGAAGGCAGAGCCGGATCGAGGCAGAGGCGGAGGAGGTGGAGACGATGGGAGGGACGGCATCGAGGGCGACTTGCCTGTGACAGGCGCGGTGACGGATCTGCGCTTCCTGAGAGCACCGATCGACGGTGACTTGGGCACCTCGGGCTCGTCGTCCTTGCCCTTCTTCGACGACCTGCGCAACAAGAGACTCTTGCTCGACTTGACCGACTTCGACGACGGCGCTGGACTCGGCGCTCGCTTGCCGGCGAGAGGAAGAGCTGAAGTCGAGCGTGAGAGCAAGTTCGTGATAGACGAGCCGATCCCGCTACCTCGCTTGGTCTGCTTCGCTTCCGCCTGCGTGCGACCGGTAACGGGAGGATGCGACTTGCCGGACATCTTGCGAAGGAAGCCGGAGGTTGGCCGTAAGGAGGAGCGAGAGGCGGAGGTCGGAAGCGAGGGTCCGGGTGGAGGAGCCTCGAGGGAAGCGCGAGGAGATGGAGGGAAAGGAACAACGCCGAGCCACTCCCTGTCGAGCTCGACAACTTGGCCCTTCTCACCCTTGCGCGGCGAGACGGTCGCTGCTGACGTCGGGCGCGGAGGGTTCGCGACGGCTCGTTGACGGGTTGTGGGACGAGTCGTCCCACGAGTGCCGCCCTCGTCGCCTGACTCTCGCGCGAACGCAAGCGACGGCATTGGACGGGTCGAGCGAGAGCGTGTGAGTACGGTCCGGTTCGAGTCGGGGTACGAGCTACCGCCGGACGAGGTCGAGAAGATGGACGGCGCAAGCAGAGGCCGCTCGCTCGTTCCGTCGTTGCTGAGGCCGAGCGACGACGCCGTGAGCGACTCTTGCTCGCCAACCACCGTCGACACAGGCCGCTTCTTGACGAGTTTGCGTTTCCTGCCTGCAGTTGCATCCGCACCCCTGCCCTCGTACTGTCTCGCAGACCCATCACGACGCAGAGCAAACGCCGACGCGGTCGAGGCGAACGAGACCTGGCTCGCGTTCCAGCGGGTCTTGTCGCCGCCGAGGATCGATTCGACAGGGGAGACGGGACGAGTGCTCGGCGAGATGTAGCTCGTCGAAGGAGTGGTGGTCGCGCTTGCCGTGGGACGTGCAGCGTGGCGAGTTCTTGCCCGTCCAGCGGGCACCACGTCGTCGTCCTCCGAAAGCTCGCTCATGTCCGGCCCCGTCGTCCTGCCATCGTCGTCGTCCTCGGTTGTGGTCACCATTGTACTCCCGCCAGCCGAACGTCGTCGAGCCCGCAGAAGGCGACTGCGCGTCGACGACGGATCCGCGCCGGACGAACGAGAGCGGCGCAAATTGAAGACTCGTCCGTCTAGCTCGGTCATTCGAGGCGGATCCTTCGCTCGAGACAGTCGCAGTCGAAGCCGTGCTCGAGTGCTTCCCTCGAGTTGCTGCGGTGGCGCGAGTCTGACGAGGTGTAGCCGAGTCGGCGGATTGCTGGGGCCGAGGCAGGGCGTTTCGAGGCGAGTTGGACTGGCGGCTTCGCGCGAATTCCTGTCGGTCGATCATCATGACCTCCGGCTCGCGAGGCGCAACCGACGCGCGGCGTCCGAGGAACCCGCTGAACGCTGAAGCGGGCGCCTCCGCTTTGTTCGACTCGGCTTTTCCACTGCGACTGAACCGCCATTTGCGGGTACTCGGGACTCGCTCGATCACGGGCGCCTGGCGGAGCGTCGGCGATGCGACCGCAACGTCCGTTTGCTCGTCCTCCGTCTCGGTTGCGAGCTCCTCGCCGGTCGTCAAGCTGTTGAAGCTGTCTTCCGTCAAGCTCGGCGTTGCGGAGCGGAAGTCGTCGTCTTCGCTGTGAGGAGTGACATGACGGGAGTTGCTCGACGGGGCGGGCTTGGGTATGCGTGATCTGGGCGTTGTTTGACGAGAGAGGGGAGGACGAGCGGTAGCGGTCGACTCGCTCTTCCGGTGCGTCTGGTGCGACGGGCGAGAGGGAGGTCGCGGGGTAGCGGACTGTGTCGAAGTCGGCGGAACAGTGACAGTCGGGTCTTGGTCAGACGACCAGCCGACGGAGGATGCGAGCGAGTCGAGCGAAAGGGTTGCGGGACCGTTCAAGACGAGACTCTGCGGCGGTGACATGGGCCGACGGGGAGGAGGAGAGGAAGGTGAAGGCGGGATCCGAGACGTCGAAGATACGCTGCGGTGTGCGGGAGTGGTCGGGCGAGAGCGCGAGCGAGAGGGCGGTCGTGATGGAGGAGGCGGAGGGTCATGCTGGAACAGGAAATCGTCGTCCCATGACTCTGAGGCGACTGTGGGAGCAATCGTCGTCAGCTTAGACCACCGAAGAAGCGATGGATGTCGGACGAACCCGCACGCTTCGACCGTTCGCTCATCTTGCTCTGCCGTTTGGGCGGTCCGTCAGCCTCGACAGCCTTTCCCTTTCCCTTCTTCGCCGTGCTAGTCGGCAGTTCTCCCCAGTCGTCGTCTCCGTCATTCTCGCGCCATCTGTCGAGACTGTTGTCGCGCTTCGAGGGTGCCGAGGTGGAAGCGGGAGGAGGCGAGGATGGGTAAGGGTCGTGTTGGAGGTCGATCAGGTCGCGCAGCGGGTACTGTACGGCAGTCGACATCACTCATGCGCGCCTGAGAGTCCACCTGGTGCTGCGAGCGAGGGAAAGAGGAGTTCATCAGCTTGTGGGGAAGACGAACGGATGTGAGGACGAGAGGCGCACCAGTTTTCGCACAGCAGCTACACCCGGGCCCTATCAAGTCTTCCAGCGCTGCGTCGAAGCTGCAACACCTCGCAGCGAGTTGTGAACAGGATGGCGACGAGGCGAGGAGGGCGAAGCGAGAGGAGGAGCAGGTTCGTGCTCAGCGCGGACAGCGCCCGTGGCTTGCGCCGTGTTGAAGCGGCGCTTGCGACTCTGTTGGAGCCTTCACAGCGCGGAAAGAAGCGAGCGAGCGGAGTGAACGAGGAAGAGGATGCCGGACGGGTTGAACGAGGTCTTGTGGGCGACGACGGCGTTCGTGGACTTTTCCGCGCATGCGTGGAGCCTTATACAGCTCCTTTGCATGTCGCAGAGGTCACGCGAGCGCGAGTTACGCGTGAGGTGAGCTGCCGGAGCCATTTTCTCGAGGGAGTGGCCGTCCGAGGTGTGTCGACAACAAGCAAGCAAGCGTTACAGCCGTGAGCTACACACAAGAGATGAGTAAGATGCGAGGTCAAGAAGGCAAGAATGCGGAGGTAAGATGCGCAAATCGAGGGTAAGATGCGAAAGTCGAGTAGTGAGGCTGCCGAATCTTTGACGGCGATGAACGCCGGATTCAGACGAGTCCCTTGAGGGCCGAGCGCTCGAGGCGGACGAATTCGGGAAGCACTGCCGGCAAAGCCAAGACCAAGTCAGCAAGATCTTCGAGCGCAAGGACAGATCGCGACCGCGCCGACGCACTGCTCGAGTAATACCTCCACTCGTCCTTGTCCGGCATTGCAACCAGGGTCAAGCCAGGCGGGTCGGGCTCAAGGTTCCTCCGCTTGTCCTCCTCCTCCCACTCGCGCGAAGTCTGCGCTTCGAAGCGGTACGTCTGCTCGTGCTCGAGCGCCTCGCCAGCCGCATGAGAAGTGCGAGGTGTCGACTGCGAGGTGAGCGAGAGGATGCTGGGCGGAGGAGCCGAGGCGGAAGAGCCGCTTGCGAAGGAGGAGGAGGCGAAAGTTCCCGTCGCCGAGCGTCCTTCGTACTCGACCTTCTCGCCGACCTCGCTGGCGGTCTCCTCGGCGGCTTGAGCGTCGATTGCTGCGCCGAGGAACTGGCGGAAAGGAGTGCGGTCGCCCTTGGCCGAACGCGAGAACGCCCAAGCAGCTTTGTATCCCGCTCCGAGCGCCGCAGCACTCGTCTTCTTCCTTCCGCCGAGGACATCCCTCTCCTCCTCCTGCTCGCCCTGACCAGCTTGACCCGTCGCCAACGACTTGAGACCGCTCGCGAGCGGGAGGAAAGCGGGAGCGTCGAAGATGGTCGAGATGAGCGAAGACATGGCGGGGTTCTGAGCCGCTTCGCCGACGATGACGATGCGGGAGGGGAGGAAAGCGGAAGAGAAAGCGGGGAAACCGCATGCGTCGAAAGCGCGGGTCTTGGCGAGGCGAGGGTCGTCGGGAGAGAGGAGGGCGCGGTAGAGGCGGCCGAGGCGGAGGCGGAGGGACATGACTGTACCGGCATACGCTGCGTCTAGTCAGCTCCGATGCAATCAAGCGCGTCGCTGACACTGCGGGAGAAGCCAACGCACACTGCGACTCAAGCAAAAGACGCGGGTTGATCTTGCGATCCGTGAACTCGTGCACCTTGGCGCCAGCGACGAAGCGGATAAACCCTTGAGCCGAGGTCGCCTCGCCATGCGGGAAGAAGAAGGCGTAGTACTTCTCGTCGAGTCTGCGAGGGGCACAAGCAAAAGTTAGTGAGTCAGGACCCTCCCTCGAGACGCCTCCGCGACAAGCGTCGCCAGCGTCGTCGAGAACAAGAACCGAACGCACCCAATAGTACCGCCGTGAGGGACGATAGCACTGAGGTGGGAAAAGACGTCCCACTGCCCGTTGCAGTACAAGTCGCGCGAGAGCGCCCTGCCGACTCCCGCATCGCGAGAGCTGCTCACAAGCAAGCGTCAGCACTGGCACTTGGAGGCGGAAGCGGGAACGCACGAGATGACGGCAACAAACTCGGGCGTCCCGTCCACTTCGCCTCCTCCCTCTTCCGACTTGGCTCCTCCCGCAAGCGGATTCTCCCACCACGCCTTGGCCGGATGGCACACCACACTCCTTTCCTGCGCTGGGAGATAGATCTCGCACGGGACGAGGAGGACATCGGATTCATCGATGCTTGAGAGGGAGACGAGTGCGTCGCGAGGAGGACGGGCGTGCGAGGCGGTCGGCGGAGGAGAGGTTGAGGTGAGGGGGAAGGAGAGAAAGGTGGCGGGCTCGGGACCGGTGAAGGGGGCAATAATGCAGTCTGCGAGGAAAAAGTCAACGCGGATGGTGTAGGAGGAAAGGCAGTACGCACTCGGGCTGAAACCGAAGCGCTGGATGAAGTACGGCGCGATGCGGCCGAGCTGCGGGAATAATACCCTCAGTCTGCTACTCGCGGCAGCTAGAGAACGCTGGAACGCCGAGAGCGCCGCTACGTTCAGACAGCGGAAAGCAACTCACCTCAATCCCACCATCCTTCTCCACCTCGCCCAGAAGCTCCCTCATCTTCCCGATCTTGGTCGCGTTGTTCTCCCCGCCGGCCATGAGGAAATCGAGGATGTCGTCGTCCCAGTCGCCGAGGACGGGGTTGAAGAGGCCGGTCGAGCAGGCGTCGGCGGCGTCGGCGGGGGCGAGTCTGCGAGCATCATGGGCCATACCCAAAATCGTCAGCGTCAAAGTGCATGGCGATGCTCGAGCGTGACCGTGCTCACTCTCCGAGAAAGACACTCGCCAACAACCCACTCTCCAGCACGATCCTCTCCGTCCTGTTCAACACGCCCTCATCCTCCTCACCCTTCTCCTGCACAACCTTGAGCACCTGCGCGACGGGCGAGCGACTCGTAACCTTCCCTCCCGTGCGCCTGACGAGCTCCGCCCTCCCCGCTTCAAGCACAACCCCCTTCGCGAGAGGCTTGTGATCCTCCTCGCCCTCGCTCGCCATCGCCTGCGCAATCGCAAGCTTCCCAAAGTGCATCTTAAGGTCGCGGACTTGACTCGAGGCGGACGTATCGCCTGAAGTTGCGGGCGAAGCGAGTGCGAAGGCGGTTTCGGAGGAGAGGATGGAGGAGATGCGTGATTGGGGGGAGTGCTGGAGAGAAGCGAGGAGGGTGGGGAAGGAGTGGGAGAGGTAGTGGAGCGTGGAGGGCTGTAGGGAGGGCGCGAAGAGCGTGAGCAGCACTACGCAAAAGGTTGACCTTCCCAACTCGAGACGAGGAGAAGAAAGTCCACCGCGGACAGGCTCTAGGACGCATGAGGACGCACCTGCCCAACTCCACTGATGCATGCGATGCGCGAGACGAGCGTCGGATCGGGCGAGTCGCGCGTGAGCTTCTCGAGGAGGAGGTCGAGGGCGTGCAGGCGGAGTTCGGAGGGAGTGGTGACGACGTCTCCGAGCGTGTGGACCCCGTCGCGAGTACTGTGGGATGGAACGACACTTCAACCAGCTTCCTGACCCTGAGTGAACGTCAGAAGCTGAAGACAAGTCGCCCGACGCACCCGTACTCCGGCAACTCCTCACCAATGTCGACTTCCGCCGTCCAAACGACCCTCAGCTTCTCATCGAGAACGCACGCGCGGTACTTGGCCACTCCGGCGTCGATACTGAGGAAGAGCGGGTTGGTGGTAGCCATTCGAGGCGGCGGGAGGGGAGCGGGAGGGGGCGAGCCGATGAGGGTTTCGGAGGGCTTGAGGTGTGGCGCGTGTGGGTGTGGAGGGCTCGTGGAGGCGAAGAGAGAGGCGGCGAGCGTGTCCAGCGCGGACATGGGAGTGGTGGGAGGGAAAGGGAGGAGGAGCAAGTTGCGGCAGGCTTGGACGTGCAGCTCTCCTTGCGGAGGGGCAGAGGTGAACTGTAACGTTCACTTATCGACTATCGTGTGCTTGAAAAGTGCACCAGCGACTCGAAACGGGGAGCAAGCGATGTTTGGACGAGGATACGACGAAAACGCCTCCTCTCCCCATCGTCTCCTCCCCGAGCCAGTTGCAAGGAAAAGCACGCGCTTGCATACGTCGTTGCGGAAAGCACTGCGTATCTAGAAAGTCCAAAATTGTCGTGAGTTGTCGAGGAGACGCCGCGACAGCTTCCCTTTTCCCTTCCTCTTCCTCCTCCCTTCACTCTCACGTCCCTGCACTCGCCTTGAACATCTTCTGACATTGCTGAGCCCCTTTCCTGACTACGCTGGTCACGCACAGCGCCCTCGGCACTCCTCCCGTTTCCTCCTCGTCCGTTCCTTCTTCTGCTCGCTCGCTTCGTCTCCCTCTCCGCCTCGACTTCCACCGCTTCCCGCGCTCTCCCTGGACTGCAGACGCTCCAACGCTGTCGACAGCAGATCCCACTCGCTTATCAGGCTTATCCCCCGGCATCCGCAGCACGTGCTTGTGCGAGGATTCGCCATCGCTCGCCATTCCTCTCCTTGCGCGTCCTCGCACTCGCTGCGAAGTGTCCAAGTGCACGGCGACGGCTTGCCATGGACCACTCGGACCCGCTCTTTGGCGCACAGCACGCCGCGTTCGCGTTCCAGCTCGACCCCTCGACTTCTCCCCACCTCGCCAACCTCGACGCGAATAACTCGGGCCTGTCGTCCGCGGGAAGCTCGGGATGGGGTCAGCACGGTCACCAGCAGGATCACTTTGCGTCGGGACTCTCACAGGACGATCTCGCGTGGGTCGAACAGCAGCTCTCGCTCGCCGCAACCTCGTCCCCTCCCTTGTTCGGGTCGAGCACGGCACCTTCTCTCCCCGCCGTACATGAGCAAGCTCCAGCGCAACCACACGCCTTTCCGCCCGTCTCGGCAGCGCGGTTCCATCCGTACCAGCTGCCGCCTGAACGAGCGCAGCGTCTTCGCCCTCCCGGTCCTTCCGCGCAAATCAACCTCGCCTCGACCGTCGCGCAACATCCAACTCCTCCTCAACCGCAGCGACAGCACTCCTTCCCCTACCAGCCTCAGCAGCAACAACTTTCGCCGGCGCATGGCGGCTTCAGCGGAGGAGACGGACTCAACTGGCCCAGCTTTTCCTCCTTCGCGCCGTCGTTCGCACCCGTTCCTGCACCTCCCGCACCTTCACTGCCGAAGCCTCGTCAACTCGTCCAGTACCCGCCTCACGACTCGCCCTCTCCCCTTCTCCTTCCCGACGAGCCGACTCCGCCTTACCCCGCCGCGCCCCATGCCTCGCCCGCCACACCCAGCACCCTCCCCAACGCCTACAGCTCGCCTCAGCCTTTCTCATCGGCACCTACTTCGACAAACGTAGCACCCACACCGCGGCGTCGTCGAGCCCGTTCCGCTCCTCCGCCTCCTCGTCCTTCCTCCGCCTTGCGCCCTGCAACCCTTCCACCCGCCGAAACCGACTCGACGAAAGACACTTCGCGCGCCTCACAACTCGACGAACTCTTCACCTGGCTCGACGCGCAACGATGGTCCTTCTCGACCCTCTTCACCGCGCTGTCCGACCTCTCCTCCGCTTCCGCCTCCGCTACAAGCGGGAGTGACCGAACACTCGCCATGGAGCACAAGAGACGGATGGAGGACTTCCTTTCGCTCGACGAGCCTTTGTCCCTTTCCTTTACCGCTTCTTCCGCCCCTTCAAGCGCCGACTCCCTCGCCCTCCTGCGCGAAGCCAAACGCCGCTGGGCTCTCAAGCGCGACTCCTCACTCGCCGAGGTCGAGAAAGGACCGGACGAGATCGTGCGGATGTGGGAAGACCTAGGCGGGTTGGGACGGAAGAGGGAGGGCAATATGCAGAGCGCTGTGAGGGAGTTGAGGGCGAATGTGCATGATGGGGCTGTGGCGGGATCGGTGAGCTCGTGGCTGGTGTTAGCTGAGAAGGAGGAGATGCTGATGGTTGAATTCGATGCAGGTCATTCGACGGATTATCAACCGGTATGGAGAGGCGTACAACGAAGCTGCGAGCGACATCAAGGTGCGCTTCCTTCCTCCCGCTCCCCTCCAACTTACTGACCGCGCGCTCGAACGCAGCGCCTCGACGCGGCCCTCTCGCAACCTCCCACTCCACACCTCACCTCCGCCCCTCGCGAAGCCTCTGTCTGGACCGGCACGCTCGTGATCCCCAGCACGCAGGCGGACATCCTGCAGCAGTGGTTGATGAGTCCTGCGCGGCGGGAAGGGCAGAGGGAGAGGGGACAGATTGATCCGGAGCGTGCGTCGAGTCTTTCGCATTCAGTCCCTTCACCAGAAGCTGCGCGAGATAACTGATAGACCGGCCCGCCGAATGCACAGACATGCGCATCTACTCGTCGCTTTCGCCGCTGGACTTGCACGCTCGAGGCGCGGAACTCTGCCGCGTCCTCCTCCTCCGCGACGCAGACTGCATGCGCAACTTCGGCCACCGTGCGTCCCTCCCTTCCTCCGCTGCCTCCTCACGCTCACGCTCGTCTTCGGGCAGTCTACGACCGCCTCCAGTCGTTCACCATCGGTCCCGTGATCGCGCCGCTCGATACGTGCGGATTCGCGATTTACGACGACGGCTCGTTGTACCATCATGCGGTGCAGACATATCTGCAGTTGTGTGTGCGGTATCCGTCGTTCAGGGAGGGGAAGGTGCGTCCGCTTTCTCTCGCTTGCGACTGGCTCGAGGAAAATGGAGTTAATCCCAGCTCTGCGCGCAGGACGCGACAATCACGATCCTCCCCGACCTGCCACCGCCCGTCCACCCAACCCCTCTCGAGACTCTCCTAATCGACCGAGCCCTCCACGCGCACTGGGACTTCCTGCGCCTCTTCCTCCTCTCCTCGCACGGGGGGTTGCTTCGCTCGGCGGTACGGTCGTTCGCGGGCGTCAAGCTGAGCAAGGTGGATTTGTTGAGTGTGTGCGATGATACCAAGGCGGTAATCGAGGCGTTGGAGAAGAGCAAGAAGAGTAAGAACGGTGCGCTCTCCCATCCCTCCTCTCTCCTGCTCCCCGGCGCGTGCTGACGGAGCAGTATGGGGACAGACCGCATCCTCCCCTACGATCCCTCGATCTCGCAAATCCGCAACGCCTGGCGGCAACAAGCTCTGTGGGACCCGACGGCTGAACTGGTCCTGTGGAGCGCGGCGACGACGCATTTCCTCGAGTTGAGCGCGTTGTTCCCGCAGTTTGGCGGTGGAGTGGTGCGTTCGCTTTCGTCCTCTAGCTGAGATCTGGAGAGTGCTGACGGGTCGACGCGAACAGAGGGAGTTGCCTGGGTTGGAGAGCTTGTTACAGCGCACGACGGGGCAGAACGGGGTAATAGCGATGCAGTCATAGACGTCTGTTATCCAGCCTCAAGCGGTATTGCAAGCAAGCGTAGCCCGAATTCGTCCAGGTGCGACATCGTTTCTGTTCGCGACATACGCCTGTCATCTCTCTGTAGAGCCTCGCACGCCGGTCAGAAAGCGAGGATAGTATACACTGCACGTCGTCCTACGCCTGCCCGTATGCTCCAACCTCACCCGCTTCAGAACTCCTCGATGCGTATGGCGAAAAAGTGCGAGTACGTGATGACTGTCGCGGTTGAAAGGGTCAGCTCGCCGTCCAGCTCGCACGTCGAAAGCGCAACGCACTCGTCCCGTACCCGACCATTCCTCCCAGCGCGCTCATCCACGCCGCGACGGGATGGATGACCTCCGAGTGCGCGAGGACATACGGCAGCGCGACACCGCTGACGAGGAAGCAGCTTGTGAGGAAGTGGCCAAAGTCGAGCGGTCCGGAGGAGTAGTCGGCGGAGAAGTCGTCTGCGCCTGCACAGCGCGAGCAGAGCCAGTTGGGAAGGGGGGCGAAGGCGAAGAGGATGGCTGGGAGCGGTTGAAGTGGTCACGAGTCAGCTCAGTCGGGTCGTGTCAGGCAGTCAGGGCATGCGCACCTGTCAGGAGAGGCAGCCAGTTGCTCCACAGTGCGCAGGCGAGGATGATGAGGAGGAAGGAAAGCGAGAGGACGAAGGAGAGGAAGATGATGGCTGCGGGCGCGGGACAAGCGGCGGGTGGGTCAGCTGGGTCCCTCGAGTCTACTGAGCGGCACTGCACGCACTCTTGAGCCCTGCACGCGAGTCTGCCATGGTTCGAGGGTCGTCGTTGATGACAACCGAGTGGGGACGGTTTGACCTCGACGACAGCCTCTCGAGCGTGCTGGTGGCTCGCACGCAGTGCTATGGATCTCTATCGACAGACAAACAGCCGGTCGCAGCGCCAGCGCGATATCCACGCCCTCCCGTCTCGTCCTCGCTCCTCCTCGACTCGGCGTGGTTGGAACTGGTCTTGCAGCGGGTTGGAAGGCTTAGCGGGACGGCAGAAGCTGGACAATTGTCACTACAGGGACGCTCGCTTCGCTAGCTGACCCCCCTGAGACGGGCGTCTCCTGCTCGTCTCCCTCGCTCGCACCTCTTGTTCTCCTTTTCCTCCACGCCATCTCTTTCCTGCTCCTTCCGCTCGCGATGGCTGCTACACCGACCACGCCAGGGCGACAGAAGCGCGAGGCATCGACCGAGTCGGAACAGGCGTCTCTAGGGACCGTCTCGAAGCGGTTAAAGAGGATGTCGGTCGGCGGCGCGATGAGCGAGGCGAGTGATGTGATGCTGGTATCAAGCGAGTGAGCACATCTTACCCCTCCAAATCTTGACGCCGCTGACTGCCGATCTTTGCAGCGGCCAACGCTTCCCCATCTCGTCTCGTCTGATTCCCTCGACCGTCCTGCTTTCTTCCTCGACATCGACCGCCCTCGTTCTCATGTCCGATAGCGACTCAGGCGCCCTAACCGAGGTACTCCTGCCGTTCACCGCCGCGACGCTCGAATACGTCCTCCAGTTCCTCGAGAACCGGCCAGTCGTCGTGCGCGAACTCGAGTTTCCGCGGGACTGGGAGACGATGCGAGCGCTCAGTGAGCTATCGGTGCGTACGTCGCCCTCAACAGCCTGTCGGAGGCTCACCAGGACGACTTTGCAGATCTGGCGCGGGATCGACAGTTTTCAGACGAGCCTCTCGTGCGTCCCTACGTATTCTATCCGCTCAGGTACCATCTCACGCCGTCTCACACGCAGGAAACAACCGCTCGACCCGACCCTCCTCGCCCCCGCATTCTGTTTCGCCCTTCATTTTTCCTACCCCTCGTCACTCCGCCAAGTCGCCATCGCTACTGCCAAACACTGCCACGCCGATCCTGAAGCGGTGAAGGAGCTCACGAAGGGGCTGATGGAGGGTGCGAGGGAGTTGAAATTCGAGAGGGAGAAGATGGGCAGGCTGTTCGAGCTGGTGCGTCCGTCCGTGGTTCTCGCTCGTACAGCATGCGACGCTTACGAGCCCGTTTGCGCAGACCGCTTGGCTCCTCGAGCGCGCGACGCACCTCCATGCCACGCGCAACGCTGCCCTCTCGACCCTGATCGCCTTCGACGATTCCTACGATTGCGAGCATTCCTGCCGCGGTGTCGTGTGGACCTCGTTCGCTCAGGCTTTCACAACAACCAACAAGCGCAAGTTGCGGAAGATGAGCGAGGAGGAAAGGGCATTCGATTGTAAGGACTGCGATGTGCGGTGGGATGCAGTGATGGAGAAGCTAGTCGAGGGACTGGAGTCGCTCCCTGCGTGTCCCTTTCCGAATGCATAGACCTGTTATTCCACCGCATGGATTAGAGTGACAACTCGTCTACGAGCTCGATGACAGCCTTCGCGAACGCCTCTGGCTCGTGAATGAACGCAAAGTGGTTCGTGCCGGGTACCTTGCGGACGGCCGTCTTGCGCTTTGCCTGCTCCTCGCCACCGTCCTGCGCGTCGTCCGAGATCCCCCACCACCCTTCGACCGTCCTGGCCGCATCGAGACAGTACCCGTTCGTCCGCGTGCCGTAGATCAACCCGACAGGCAGGGCGACTCCACCAGTCGGCTTCAACGCGCTCTCCGCCAAGCGCTGGACCTCCTCCGCTCCTTCCGCCAGCCGCCAACTGAACCCATGCGCGACGCATGCCGGTTCCCACGCGACTTTGCGCAACTCAGGACCGAGAGCGTCCAACCCTGACGGCGGGAGCAGTTCCTCCGCTACTTCGTCCGCACTCGCCGAAGGAGCGTACATCCCGATCCATCCTGCGAAAGCCTCGGCGAACTCGGTCGGCGTCGACGAGTGCGGCGGCGAGACGGCCTTCATGGCGCTTGTGTAGTCGTCAGTCGGCGGGCGTCCGAGAGCGGAACCGGGAGGCTCGAAGAGAATTAGGGAGCGGAGGTGCGTGCGAAGGAGTGAGGCGTGCGGGAGACCTGAGGACGGCAGGTGTGCGAGGAAAGAGGTGGGCGAGGGCGAGGAGGTGAGGTGGATGAGCGAGAGGAGCGAGAAGCATAGGACGGTGCCCTTGCTCCAGCCCTACGAATGGGACTGTCAGCATCCTGAGCATTTAGCGTAAGTGTCTTACGCACCAGGAGGACGATACCGCCCTCGTGCGTCTCCTCGTCGACGCCCTGCACGCCCAGCTCATCCACCGCAAACCGCAAGAACTCCATCAAGTCGCACAGGTACGTCGCGGTCGCATCCGTTCCTCCAGGTTGCGTGGCGTCGAATGCGGGCGACGATCGGGCGTACGAGCGCTGGTTGTAGGCGAGGAAGCGGATCGAGGAGGGGAGAGCGGGGAGCAGCGGCGTCCAGACGGCTGCGGGCGCGACTTTCGTCAGTCCTGGCGTTCCGAGAACCGTCCACAGCCACTGAGCGCCGATTCACCACTGTTGAATCCGACGCCGTGCAGTCCGACAACCGTCGTGTACCGCTCCGGCAAGTCCCCCTTGGCCCTGCCGTGCCACGAGTCGACGTAGACGAGGGTCAGGTCGTCCGAGATGCGCGCCTGCTGGAACTCTGGTGCGCTCATGGTGTTTGGCGAGAGGGAGAAAGGCGAGTCTGGTGGGGGAGGAACAGAAGACCCGGGTGCATAGATCCAGGTCGGACCGCGACAGTCGGTTTGCGCTTGGTTAAATCAACTCAGCGGTTCATTCGCAAGTCTGGCGAGGTAGTCGCAAGCCCGCCAGAGCGTTGTAGCGTGCTGTGAGGTCTCGAGACTCGCTCCGACTGATGAAGACACGGGAGCAGCGAGGAGAGCGCTGCGAGGGACGGGCTAGCTTCTGAGCAGTCGCAAGCATCTAATGAGCCCAGCTTGAGTCCATTCAGCCGCAGCGAGCGGTGTGGACGAGGAAGAGCCGCCGCGTCTCCTCCTCTCCCCTCGACGACCGCGATGGACCCGAACGAACCGACGCACTTGAACGTTCTGATCGCAGGGACTGGACTGCACGAGTCCATCCTCGCAGCGTGCGTCTTCGCCAGCTGCCCGACGCCCTCCTCGCCGCGCTGACACCCGCTCACTCCCCACAGCGCACTCTCGAAAGCGGGCTACTCTGTCCTCCAGCTCGACTCGGCGCCCTACTACGGCACAGCACACGCTTCCCTCTCCCTCCTCGAGCTCCACGACTGGGCCTCGTCGACACCCGGTGCCGAACCCTCCTCTCCTTCTCCTCCAGCGGACCTCTCGAAACTCTCGCAACGCTTCGCCCTCTCGCTCTGCCCCATCCTCCTACGCGCAAAAGGCCCAGGCCTTGACCTCCTCGTGCGAAGCAAAGTCGCCTCGTACCTCCAGTTCGGATTGCTCGGCGGTGTCGGGCTCTGGCAGGATGCGGAACGGGGAGTTGCGCGTGTGCCGGCGAGCAAGGCGGACGTATTCAATGACTCGACGCTGTCGCTTGTGGAGAAGAGAAGGTTGACGAAGCTGCTGTTGTTTGCGGCGGGAGACGAGCCGTTCGAGGAGGACAAGGTCATCGTCGAGAGTGCGTTCCGCTACTTTCCAGCTCACTTGCTTCGGCTGACCTTTGCGCCGTAGACCCCGACATCTCTTTCCTTGACTACCTCAAGAAGGCCTACTCGCTAACAGGCACCGCCGCCTCGTCCCTCGCCTACGCACTCGCGCTGTGCTCCTCTCCCTCGGGTTCGTCCGCTCGTCTCCTCCTCGCGCCAACCTCACTGACGCCGTCTCGACAGACCCGGCACTCCCCGCCCTACACCGGATACGCAGCATTATCCACGCCGTCGGACGATACGGCCCCTCGCCGTTCCTCGTCGGCCACTACGGCGGCGCAGGCGACCTAGTCGGCGGCTTCTCGCGGTTCGTCCCCCTCCCACCCTTCCTTTGCTCGCGCTGACAAGCGGGTGGTAGGATCTGCGCCGTCTGGGGTGGAGGACAGATTCTCGGTCGCCCGCTAGGCCCGCTCAACCCCTCCGCCTCGCGCGGTATACCCGTCCCAGCCTCTCAGCCTCCCTTCCGGACAATCGACCAACCTCCTCCTCCTCCTTCCTCGTCCTCCTCCTCCGACACCAGCACCGCACTAGGCATCCCCGTCCATCTCGCCGACGAAGCCGACGCCGAACCCACAACTTTTACCGCAGATTGGGTAGTCTGCTCACCCTACCTCTTCTCGACACTGTTCCCTGCTCACTCTCTCCCCGCAAGTCTCGCCCCCGATGCACCTCGGAGCGTGAGGATGATCGCGATCCTTTCGCGTGCTGTGTCGTTTCCTCGTCCTCCCACTTCCACCGACTCGACTACGGCAGCGGAGGAGGAGGAAGACGAAGACGCTCTCCCCGACTCTCAGTTGTTCGTCTTCCCGCCCGGCTCGAAAGCGCACGCGGAAGGCGAGCGAGTAAATATGGGGACCGTGACGGCGTTGCAAACGGGAAAGGGGACGATGAGTTGTCCGGAAGGCTACCGTGCGTTTCCCCCCTCCCCCCTCCCTCTTCAGTGCGCGGAGCGTGGGCTGATGAGCCAACTGGGGATGTACAGACGTCCTTACACTCTCTGCGCCCATTCTTGCGCCGATGCCTTCGCCTGCACCGTCCGCTTCCAACCTCGTGAAGCCGTACCTCGACGCGCTCCTCGCCCTCCCCTCTACCTCAACCTGTCACGCAACTCCCGCCACCGCTGAACCGGACTCGACGAGGCAGGAGCCGCTCTACTCCGTCTCTTACTTCTCCCCACCCCTGCCCTCTCCCTCACCTCACCCCGCGGCAGCGAAGGAGGCGGACCTCCCACCCAACTTCCTCCTTACCCCCTCCTCCCCTCCCTCCTCCCCCTCCTCCACTGCGTCGCTGATAGAGCTACTCGACACCCTCCCAGCCCAAGTCGAGGAAAGTTTCTGGAAGATTGTTGGGGAGGAGGGGAGGGAAGAGGGGGTTGCGTTCTTTGCGCGCTCTGACGAGCAAGGGGAGGAGGACGAGTAGCGCGGATTCGCAAGGCTTTTGTTCTCTCGCTGACTCTTTGATGCTAAAGGGAGGGGGAGACGACAGAAGAGAATAAGAGGTGGAATTAAGTAAAGGATTGCAAAAGGGTATCTCGTGTGCGAACAGGGGCGAGGGGTTCGTGAGGGAAACACTTGGGAGTCGATCAATACGAGAAGGAGAACAAGTGTCGGTGGAAGGATGTACAGGAAAACTTAGGCTGAGCGAGGTTGGAGAGAGGAAGGCTAGACGGTCCCTCTCCTCCTTCCTCCGCCGCAGCGGCAGCAGAAGATGTCTCCCAAGCAGGAGAAGATGGTGACGAACACCGAGGTGATTGCCTGCGCGCGCCCTCACCGTTAGCTCCGAGAGGAACGCGAGGGAAGGAAGGGATGGGACGAACCCCGACGATGGCGTTGAGGACTGAGCCGATGGCGCTGATTACGGCCATGATACCGCGGCCGATTGCTTCGGATCCACGAAGCGTCAGCGAGGGATTCAGGTGGATGCGAGGGAGAAGAGGACGAACCGGCAAAGACAGATGCGATCTATTCCGCGCGGAAGAAGACGAAACAAAGTCAGCTTCGCACCTCCTTGTCTGAGGGGAGGGAAGGGGACGCACAGCAGAGCAGACGACGCCCATGATAGACGACTCGCGGGTGGGAAGTTGGGTGTTTGGACGAAGTTGAGCGAGGGAGTTTGGTGAGAAGGTTGTGCGGTGAGATGGGTTCTGTGGGAGTGCGAGGGTCAGCGGGGAGTGATGGCGACGTCCAGCAGTGAGTGCGCACCTTTGTAGACTGCTTCGAGGGCGAAGGAGCACGTGGGAGAGGCGGGAGGAGGGCAAAGAACACCAGCTGGTCAGTTCCGTGTGACGCTCGTTCGTCGTCGTCGCGCTCGAGTGGACGCACGGGCTTCGAGAGTACCGGGAGTGAGTGGAAGGAGGACAAGAGAGTGGCACGCAGCGGTTCTCTTGTAGGATCCTCCTCACGCGCTTTTCTATTCTTCCACCGACGTCACTCGAGAACCGACAAAGTTGTCTTTGACGAGCGGGTCAAGCGACTGCGGATTGCTGTGCCCCCGGGTCTCGGCAGTACACACGTCACTCGCACACGGAGGTGCGGGAGCTGCGGATGGGCTGGCATATTCGAGCGGAAGAAGCGAGGACGAGGAGGAGGGCGAGGACGGGGAGACTCGCTCTTGGACCGAGACTTGGCTGCGATATCTTGTAGTGCTCAGTTGTAGTACTGCTAGAGTCACTCATGCTGCAAACAGCCTTGTGAGAGAGTGACTTCGCTCGTCAATGCCTCCTGTCTCGTCCTCAGCCACTCCCTGCTCGCCCGCACACAAGCATCCCTCCCTCAACACGCTCTCCCAGGCTCTCCCCTTACCCCTCCAAAGCAACACCCAGCTTCTCCAGGTACGCTCACTCACCCACTCACGCGATCGAACCAGGTCAAACGGTCACGCTGACCCACCTCGAACACCACCACTTACTCGCTCGCGCTCACCTCGTGCAGCCCCAGCCTTTTAGTGCGTCCCCCTCCTTCTCTCTCTCACTAGACCCGCCCTGACCAGCTCGAACGGTGGGTGTTCGCGCGTCGCAGTGAGCAGCACTCTTCTCAACAAGCCCTACGACGCCTTTGCCGACGAAGGGGCAGACGAGGAGGTCGTTGTCGAGACCAAGTCAAAGAAGCAGCAGCAGTGTGCGTCTCACGCTACACATCCTCGCTACGGCTGGTGGGGGAGGGTTCGGGGACCGGGTGATGAGGACTGGGAGGGGAGATGGACTGAGAGATGGGAGGGAGGGGGCGGGATAGGGACGGGCTTCATGGGCGAGAGTGCTTGCTATGGACGCATCTGGGCGGCTACGCCCCGCTCCTCAGCCA